TAAAAGAGAGGGAGGGTGTTGAAGAAGAGGGACCTGAAAGAGAACGGGGAAGACAGCTTCTTGCACCATTTCCCATAGCTCTCTTTGTGACCACAACTGTCAGTTAGGAAGGAAGAAAAGATGAGGGGCTAGGGTGAGTGAGCGCATGAGTGCTTGCATGGTGAAGGTGGTGGGGGGCTTCTTGCTGCTAGTTTTTGTTGTTTGAGGAGCGAGAGAGGCAGGATTGTAGGATAATACAGGGGTAAAAAAAGAAAAAACTATTAAAATTTTAAGAAATTTTACACTTTATGAAAAGCTTTTGTTTGTTTAGTTTTTCGCCTGTGGTTTTCAAGCAAGAGAGTGGAAATAATTGATAAAAATCCAGTTTCAGAGATCTTCACAGACTGGTGTGGGGAAATGTGAGCTGGGAAATTGCCCCTGAGTCTTCTGACCCACTGACCCTGTGTCGGCGTCTGGAGAAGGAGGAGCATTGTACATCTATCAGAGAGGTACACTCTCTCTCTCCTGGCTTTTCATCACTGTTTCTGATGTTGATCCATTACTTATAGTTGTTTGTATTGTTGTGATGTTTTGTTTGTTTATTTGTTTTCCCTTTTTGTTCCTCAACTTTAATGGGTAATACTCAAATATTATCTATAAATATTATAGTGTACAGTACCACGCAAAAGTAATGATTACTTTATATTTTTTCCTTCCAAGCCAGCCAACCCATTCTTGTAAATTTGTTCTGTCTTTAGGCACTTTGTTACTAGCAGCCTGTGACAGAAGCACATCATTTTTCACATTTCTTTAGTCAAAGATGACACGTGTGTGTGTGTGTGTGTGTGTGTGTGTGTGTGTGTGTGTGTGTGTGTGTGTGTGTGTGTGTGTTGGATATAAATTAAACTGTCTGCCTTAATCTTAAACCAGACACTACAGCTTATATACAGCTCACCTGCCCTAACTATAAACTAAAAAAGAGCTTATAGTTAGGGCAGGTGACCCTGAACCACTCCTGAATTATGATCCTATAGGCTCAGATTGCTACAGGACTTGCACAGCACTTCACGTGATGCACTGACCATTTCTTCTTTTCTCACTTCTTTTTATTTCCCATCTATTTATATATCACTGCAAGATGTCGTTAAACTTTGCCTGTTTTTCCTTCTCACAGTTACAAAGTGCTTGCTTTTAGGGAGTCATTTGATTCTTGGGCTTTTCTCTCAAATACTCTGGGCTCTTTAAGCATCTTGAAGAAAACTGTTTTTGTGATCCGGTGCTTTTACCTTCATTTAAAGGAATTGGACAAGTGAAGGACGACAGAAGTAATGACGGGCCTAAGGGGGGAAAAAAAAAGCTTCAACAGAAAAACAGTATGCCCTTCAGTTGATCCACTGTTCACTGAAGGGCCAGTGCAGGGTCTCAGTGAAGGGTGGCTGTCAAGAAGCCATTCATAAGAAGGGAAACAGGGAGAAAAGGCTGATATATGTCAAATTACACAAGAATTGGACTTAAAATCAGTCACAACAGGCCTTAGGAATGAATCTCAATTTGAAAGTTTTGGTTCAAATCATCTTTAACATGAACAACAGTGAGTCTCTACAGCCATCTGTAAAACCTGGTAGAGCTTCCATCATGTTAGACTTCAACATTACTGAAGCAGTGTGGGATCATCTTGACAGAGAACGGAACAAAAAGCAGCCAACGTCCAAAGAAGAGCTTTGAATGTCCTTCAAAAAAGCCTGGCCACGTGTACCTGGAGACTGTTTAAATAAATTAGAATAAAGCCTAAGAGAGACTGTACTGAAGAATAAAGGTGGTCTTACAAAATATTGACTTTCATCCTTATTCGAATCGTACAAACTGTTTTTGCCTTGTAGTGTGTATTTACATTTATGTTTGCACATTTCAACAAATCACTGCAAATCCTTCTTAATTCACTTACAAATATAAAGAAATGAGGGCTGGGAGGAGAGCTTTGCTTTGGTGTTAACATGTCTATTAGTCTTAACAATATTTATCTTTTGTCTTAACCCAAATCCAAAAGTATGGTATGAAGGGAATTCCATCCAGCAACTGTTTCTTTCTCTAAAAGTGGACTGCCTTGCAGATAGACTTAGTGTGATCGCTACAGCTACAAAGATTAAAGAAAATGTATATTTGCTCTCAGGCTCCTGGACTGGTAATGTTACCTGACCGCCTGCCTTCCATTGGTTCATCTGGGACTAAATCAACAGGTAATCAATGAGATTCAAGGGCTATATTACTGAAGAGTTAGATAAAGTGATCTAACTCACAGCTATTATAATTAATGAGTGTTTTATTTTGTGCAATGTGGTTATTTCTGTGGCAGAGTTGCCCTTTTGACAGTGCAAGGTCTCCACAAACAAAATGATACAAGTTATGAAATCATACAAGCAGAAGTTTTCATGTAACATAAACCCAACTGAAATTGTGTCACCTCTTTATAGACATGTCTTTATCTCACCACATGACAATATTCTGACAGTGGTCAACAAATGCACTTTGTTGTGCTATAGAAAAAAAGATTGATTGATTGAATGAGGATTTTGCTACTGGGACTCTTTAACCTGCACTGTGAAAATGTTCACTTGCTCACCTTTTTTTATTTAGCACTTTCCATTTTTATGTCATGACGTTTGAAGTATTGGACAATGAGGATTTCAGCATTTAAGAAATACGTTTTCAAGATTAGACTTTTCATACTTTTTCCAACAAATCAAGGCGACGTCAGCGATAAGCATGGGGATAGACTTCATCAAAAAATGAAAGTTACGGAAAAATTATATTAGGGAAATCAAATCAGTTCTTGTTAGTGCATTAGTTCCAATTAGAGTTTATTGACAAAGCAAAAGTTTCTCTTACCATCTCCACTGCTTTTGTTTACAGCCAAGCCAACCCACTCCTCTCCAGGTCTCTGGCACCCCCACCAGTCCAGTCGCAGAAAGCGTAACAGACAGCAGAAGACTTCTTTCTCCTCTGACACTCACCCTCATCCAGGACCCTCCTCCATCCTCCTCTCAGACGCCACCATGACTCCTTGGGGAGGGCTGGCTCTATCTGAGTCCTGCTTTGACTCAATTCCCAAAATACTTACTCCACGACCCTCTCCACCTCCACCCCCAGCCTCTCCTGTTCCCGAGCAAATACCGTCAGCTACCCCATATCATGGCAGGAGACAAGAAGAAGACAAAGACAGTTCAGGCTCAAGTTTTAACTCTCAAATTCCATCTCCACCTGTGGCAGTCACGCAAAACAGCGCAGGTATGACTACAAAAAGGGACAGCCATTACCAAACAAAACCAGATGACAATATTACTTAAAGTCATAAGGTCCCTGCAGGAACACTCGGTAGTGGTTGATACCTAATAGCTGATAGTTAATTTAACGGAGCCTGTAAAATTTAAAAAGAATTCAAATAAGATCACTCACACACTTTAATATACTGTAATTATGCTTTACGATACAAAGAAAAAGTTGGCAGCAGACAGATTATTTTAAAAAATGTTTCTCATGATTAATTATTAATGCAAAATGGAACACACCCAGTGTTATCACATGTAACCCATTAATTATTATTAAGTATTATGTTTCCTTGTTATTAACTATGATAACTTTAGTGCTACATTGTGTGTCTTATAAAAATACTTTGTCATGTTACATTATACAAAGCACATAAATAGAGTGAATGCAGCTAAAAATCATGTTAGCCTAGCTTTGAGTTACATTGTAAGAAGAGGAACAGAGGCATCAGTTATCAGTTAATCTGACTCATTTAACATGTATCTCCTGTTGATATTATTGTGATATAAAATATGTAATATTCTATATTTAATATTGTCCTTTAACTGTCTGTGTTTTAATACTGTCCCTGCCCTAACCAGAACATCTTTTTGCACAGGTGGAGCAGCTAAAGATTTGCAGCTGAGGCGGAGGGTGTTGCCTCAGTGTCGGCTTCCTCGTGCCCCCCGTCTCCCACCGCTTCACCCCGTCACTGACCTCAGTTTCTCTCGGAGCTTCACTTTCTCCTTCTTCGAGCTGCCGCTGCACCAGTCTCCTCGCTGGCGTGCCGAGCGTGTCAAAAACCTCTTATTGCTTTTGAAACAGATACACTACTGAAGACGCAGAGCTGCGTGTTCCTACTGATAGTTCAAATCTGCCTTTCTTGAGTATATTATTGTATTAGTAAAATGTGATATTTTATTTTCAAAGTAAGAGTGATGGGTGAGGGATTTTTTTTTTTTTTTTTTTGGCACAATAGGATAAGACAACAAGACTGCATGTTATTCTATTCAATCTGTGTTCATTGCTTTTCGAGAGCTGGATTTTATTTGTTTGATGTTTTGAAATTTATTTAAAAAAAATTAGTTTCTAAGGGTGTGAGTTCATTCCTCTGGTTTTCAGCTCCACAGCGATTTACTTACGTTCCTGTTGTGTGTATTGTGTATTGTGTTATGTGTGTGTATATTTATGAAATAAAAACAACTTTACTATCACTCTAGTTGCTCTGTTTTATCAGCTTTCTCTGTTTTAATGGCTTCTGTTTCATACAGATAGACCTCCTGTAGATTCTCGTTTACTCTATAACCTTATCCCTGCCTACCTTTCTCACCCTGTTCTCTCTCTCTCCCTCTCTCTCTCTCTCTCTCTCTCTCTCTCTCTCTCTCTTCTCTCTCTCTCTCACACACACACACACACACACACACACACACACAAACACACAAACACACACACGTGAGTCTGTGGAAGCTGAGCTGGAATAATAGAGGCATTCAGAGGTACTGAATGAGCTGGTGAATGGGAGGAGAAAGGGGCTGTAAACTAACTGTAATGTCCAGAGTTCAAGGCTCTTTTCCACTTTCCGTGACTCACGTGTGAGAGCGTGTGAAAGCATGTGTGTGTGTGCGTTACCCTAATACATGCACTCTCACTGTCACCCAAGTGATCTCTTTGTAATAATGCGGCTTCTTGCTGATAGAGATTAAGTAAGTCTTTTTTCATTCACTGCTTTAATTTGTTTAAGTTTTCCTGAAGAAGCGCTTCTTTTCGCTTTTGTCATGTGACTTTATTCACAGATTTAGCACACATGAAAACAGGTCAGCGAGGCACATTAAACAAACACACAGTGTTCAAACGCAGGCAGAATGAAACTTCGCTGTGCTCTCAGTAATCTTCCACAGTTATTTCAGATGGACAGCGTTGAGCAAAATGACCGGCCACGCTCCAGGCAGCTTGTTCTCGCACACGCCCTGGACGAAGCACAGCTGGATCTCCTCGGGCAGAGGCTAGAAAAGAAGTGTCTGTCACTTTCGGAGAGGGTAAAGTCACAATGTCGGTGAGTCAAAGGATAATATTTTTTGGCCTTACTGCGTTTGACCCAGCCGTGTTTATCTGAGGCTCTATAGCTGATAGCTTGTGCGTGTTTTCCTCCAGGTGTTCTGGTTCCAGGATAAAAAGCTTCGTGCTGGAGGTTATTCCCGTCCTGTCATGGCTCCCTCATTACTCCGTTAGACACAACGCCGTCGGAGATCTGGTGTCTGGCATCAGCGTTGGGATCATGCATCTACCCCAGGGTTAGGCTACAGCAACAGATAAGAGTATCATAAAAGTCACAAAAGAGTCTGAACTACAGTCTGCCACAATACCTTCACTCACAAATCTATAAAGGCTTCATTCCCCCCCCCCCCCTTATCGCATTAAGATTTACAATATGACTTTGATTGATAAAGACTAAAGAACTATAATAATCTTTAACCAACAATAAATTATTAAATCCATCAAACTTTCATGTAGATCTTTGTGGCAACTTTGTGGCCCTAACCTTAATTTAAGCACTTAAGTGAGCTGTTTCTTTCTTGTGCATTTTAATATGCTGAATCCAAATATAACATCTAAAATAACTAATTCACAATCATATTTAAGTTTCTGCATTTTACAGCCTGTAAGGTTAAGGTGTAGTGTGTAGGTGGGAGGTTGTGATGCAGAGAAACATTGCTTTCATTGGATAAATATGTAAGCCTGGCCACACGTTTTAATTATTTCAAAATGGAAACTGCAACTGCCAATTCTAGAGGTCACAGCACATTGTGAAAGGAAATAATTTAAAAACATATAACTTTGCTTTGCAGCATTACAGACAAAGTGTCAAATTGAGCTAAGATTTATAATTTCAAGTTCATATCAGACTTCATATGAACCCAGTTTCATTCAAATTTGCTGAAGGGTTTAGAATGAGTGTAAATGTGAAAATTGGCACCTATATTATCCACAGATTTATTCAACACTGATTTGCACAGCCGCCTCCTTTATTCCTTTCCAGGTATGGCCAATGCCATGTTGGCAGGAATTCCTCCAGCATTTGGTCTGTACGCTTCTCTTTATCCTCTGATCGTCTACTTCATCTTTGGCACTTCCAGACACCTCTCCATCGGTGATTCTTACATTTGATGCTTTTCTGGATTTTCCTACAGTCATTCCATACAGTGACGTTTCCATGAGCACCTCTGAAAATGTCTTAGGAATTTTTTTCTGTTGCAAAAAAAATATTTAATTGTTTAAAAAGTATTTTTCTTATTCAATCATTTTACTAAATAAAGCCTAATTCAGTAAAGATACTTCAGGAAAGAGTAAACTAGTTCTGCTGCTCTGTGTGTGTGCGTGTGTGTGTGTGTGTGTGTGTGTGTGGGTGTGACAGGTACCTTTGCTGTCCTGTCCATCATGATTGGGACTGTGACAGCTAATGTGGAGTTGCTTAGCGACGGTGATGAAGCAGCTGTTGAAGCAGCCAAAGTAAACGTAACGGTGCAAGTCACTTTCCTTTGTGGCCTAATACAAGTACGCACAAACACACACACACACACACACACACACACACACACACACACACACACACACACACACACACACACACATCCAGAATTGTGATTCTGATATTTTGTAAACTACCATTCATTTATTTTTAATTAATTAAGACTAGAGTGGCACTCAGTCAAAATGGAAATACTAAACCTTCTTGTGTCTGCGTTTGTGTGTCTTTAGCTCCTTTTGTACCTGCTGCGGGGAGGTGTTGTGTGCCGCTGGCTGTCGGATCCTGTAATCAGAGCCTACACCACAGCAGCCGCCCTGCACATGATCATCGTACAGCTGCCGCTAATGACAGGAGCACCAGTACAGAAACATACTGGACTGCTGGCTTCACCTAGGGTCAGTTGAAACATCTGCACTATCATGCACACATTCAGGCACGCCACCTTTGAGCTGAAATAAGTAAGTCCAGAAACAAGAAACAAAGGAAAGCATCATCCTTTTTTCTAGACTTCGTGTAAAAAAACCTCTCTGTGACCTTTTTTTAAATTTTTTTTTTATCAGGAATAAAGAAATAATCTAATGATACCTCCTAATTGCATGGGCCGTGGCTGCAAATTACTTTCTTTTTCTTTGGCACTACGTGGTGCAAATTAAACTCCTTCAAAGACACATCGTGTCACCTCTACACTGACAGTATTGCACTTCTTAAGTGTCAGGGTGTTTTATCAGCACTTTGCAGGTGGTTGATTTCCTCCAGAGCCACTGAACTGTAAGGTTTGATGTGCACTAGAGCACATGAATCTGAAAATGTGAAAACCATTTAGTTGGGCATTTCGACATGTGAGTATATTCTTCTGGAGCTACCTCAGGTGGCCGTAAGACCAAATGCAGTTTCCTGCTGCGTTATTAAAGCAGGTCCTATAATTTGAAAGTGCAGCTGGAAGTTTTGATGCAACATTTTCCATTTTCACAGTAGTGCTAGTCAGCCACTTCAATGAGTGTGAGCCGTTTGGTTCCACCTTCAGAGAGGAAGGGTTCCTCCTGAATCTTGCAAGTCATGGGATAACTCTCTCTCTGTGTGTGTGTGTGTGTGTGTGTGTGTGTGTGTCTTGCAGACTTTCATAGATGTTCTGTATGGAGTGACCAATGCTGTAACAGGAACTCTGTTAGTCTCTTTGGTTTCTTTGGTGATGCTCATCGGAGGCAAACTGCTGAATGAGCGGTTTAAGAACAAACTGCCTGTCGCCATACCATGGGAGCTTATACTGGTGACACACACACAGACACACACAAACACATAAACAGTAGACTCATGTCCATAAGATGCACCCAGATGGACAGATGCCACGGTGATGAACTGATGAATGACTCATAATTATATAATAATCTGTTTTTAATCTCCAAAGCCACGATTCTCCACATACAGCAAATATGTGCACCTGGACACTGGTTAATCATCATTCTCTTGTCTGATGTGTTGATAAGAATTGAATTTGTTTGTTTGTACTGCTTCTCAGTTCTTCAAGTAATTTAAAGATTTCAATTAAGGATTACTGTAACATTTTTTTAATGTAGTTACAGCTGTGTAATTACACAGCTATTTAATTTTATAACAAAAAAAGAGAGTGAGAGAGGTAAAAAACGTACTGCATGCAAAAGAACTGGACATTTGATCTGTTTTTTATGCTTCATGTTTTCAGTTATATACAATTGTAGGTTTTGTAGTATATCATAGGGGAAAAGCTTTAAGACGAAGGCTAGTTTTATCAGTTAAAAACTCTGATCATATATCTGTTTATGTCAGTGTGTACTTGAACTGACCGATTTATGTGATATTAGGATGCAGATTACTTTATATTCTTCTTTTCCAAAGTGAACATTCAGTGCAGAAAATGTCACTTCCACTGCTTTTCTCTCATAGATTGTTCTCAGCACCCTCCTGTCAGTACAGATGGATCTGGCTGGACAGCACAGAGTCCAGGTGGTGGGACACATACCCAGTGGGTCAGTAGAACTGGGTTATTGTTTGTTTGCTTTAGTCATTTAGATTTGCTTTTTCTTTTTTCTTCTTTTCTTCTTCTTTAAAAAAAAAAATCAAATAGTCACGATTGTCAATGATTGTCAAGCTGGAAATGCTAACTTCTAACTGTCAAATGTAATATTCCCTCCAACACAAAAGCAACAAAAAGACTCTGAAAAATCCTCTTAGAAAAATGGTCTGAAATGAATCATTTTAATGTGACTCCAGAAAAATGTAATTCTCTCTAACTCAAAGTGAGTCAAGTAGATTTATGGCAGAAAAAGACATTATGCTGCTTTTATTTACCTATTAGCTTTAAAGTGTTAATATCATGCAAAGAAAATGACACATAACATCTAAACTGTAGCTCACAAATATTTCTATGAGAAGAAAAGTATCAGTTCTTCATGCTTTTGATGTCATATTGCAAATGTGCTGCTAGCTTTGTCACACCTGATAGCTTTAAGAAAATGCTGTGTTATGATGAATAATTCACAAGGTAGTCATAATTCTTTATAATACTGAATATTATAATTTCGTTCCTTTTAATAATATCTTAGTCACTGAGTCAAAGAACCTCTCCTCCTCCTCCTGCTCCTCTCCAGCCTGTCTCCCCCAGCTCTTCCCTCCTTGTCTCAGTCCAGAGAGCTTTTCATTCCAGCTCTGTCCTTGGCTTTGATTGGCTTCAGTTTCCTCTCAGCCATGGGCTCAATGTTTGCCAACAAACATGGCTACTGTGTGGACCCGAGTCAGGTACATTCACCCCAATAACAGTTTAACTCAGATCAGAAAATACATACTCTGTTATTTGTTTCAATATCGTGCAGAGAAACTGAGAGAAGTAAAGTTAATTAAAGGTGTTTTAATGAAACTGCACTTCCAGTGCCTTCTGGAGATTAAAGTGGTGTCCCCAGATTTCTGCAAATGTAGGCACACTTGCTGAACCTCAGTGATGACGCAAGCTTTGATTCCCTTCAAACTCTTTTTTTGAAGTTTGTCTGACTTTCCTGGATGAATCTTCTTTGAACAATTCACTGCAACTACTTCCTTTTTTAGCCTCATTGTTAAATCTGCTGTAGAGACGACTGAGAGTAAGTCAGAGTTTTCTGCCCGTGCAACCCAGGGCAGGGCAAAAATGAAGAGTAGGGTGATGTACTGTAGATACAGAACATGTAGAAATCAAATATAAGTGATAAATGTGATGTAGCTAGTCATTTAGCCATTTAAAGATGTGGACTCAGCTGTATGTCCCTGCCTCAGGACCTGCTGGCGCTGGGTCTGTGTAACACCATTGGAGGGATGTTTCAGTGCTTTGCTGTCAGCTGCTCCTTTTCTCGCAGCATGGTCCAAGAAAGCATCGGTGTCAAAACACAGGTCAATTATCTTTTTCAGAAGTCCAGCTCCCTTCAGCTAAACACATTTTTAATCAGGCTAAAATAGCACCTACTAAAACGTTATGAGTCTCATAATGTGCTGTAAGTCATTTTCTTCTTTGCTTGCGGTGTTCTTTTTGTTCATATTTTTAGATGGCTGGTCTGGTGTCAGCTTTGTTGATTCTGACAGTCTTGTTGGAGATTGGTTATCTCTTTGAGCAGCTGCCAAAGGTAAAGTGAATCTAACATAACAGGTATTATTAATGTTTATTATACAGTTCTTACAGCTAGAGTTCAAATCACCAGACTCTCACCCATGGCAGTCACGTTTTCCAGACAGCAACAGAGAAATGGAATATTTAAAGTTTTTAGTATTATTTTGATGATAAGTAAGAACTTCTTTCTGGCAAGTTTACACATGATTACAGGACATGAAATGAGGTGAGTCAATGTCTCGTAACGCTAAGAGAATGAGACAACAAAGCAATCCACTGTTGTTGTAATGGAAACAAATGCTGCAGAAGTTTGTGTTTGCAGTTCTGCAGACACCTTTACTTTCCCTAAAGCATGGAAACGATCGCCAGGGTGATTCACGTGTCTGAGCCAATGTTGGGTAATGGTTTGCTGTGTGTACCAGGCAGTGCTGGCAGTGATTATCGTGGTGAACCTTCAGGGCATACTGGCTCAGTTCAGAGATGTGCGTCTGCTCTGGAAATCTGACAGATTAGACCTGGTGGGCTTGGCACACACACATCATTAATCATAGCACAGAAACAGCTACAAACACCATTCCGGGACTGATCCAGGAATTTTCCCTCTCCTCTCCCTGCGTTCCTTTAGCTCGTGTGGATAGTGTCACTGACTTCCACCTTCATTTTTAACCTGGATCTGGGTCTGGCTGTGGCTGTCGTCTTCTCTATGGTCACACTCCTTTACAGGACACAACAGTCAGTGAATGTGATTTTACAAACCTTACATGGAGCATTTTGGACCAAAAGAAAAAAAAGATCACTGTATTTATTTTGGAGTGAAAATCCAGAAGTCCCTGCCAACATTTATTATGTTTTCACAAAGTCATTGCTTCACATACTTTTATATGGTTTAAATGGTTCCACTGTCTGTTTCTCTCCCCCCTCAGGACTCAGGACGACTTGTGCACTCATCAGTATTCCCCTCTGTCTCTCTCACACTTTTCATCTTGTCCTCATCTTCCAGCTCCACCACTGTTGTTTTGGGTCACATTCCTGGTACAGACTGTTACAGAGATGTGGAGCTCTACCTTGAGGTAAACTTCAGAAAAATATAAATCCATCTCACAACAACAAAAAGAAGAAATAATCAGAAAATCATTAAAACACAACCCCAGTGCAGTCCCTGTTCTGTTTTGTTACAGTTTTAACTTTGAAATCTTTTCCAAGCGACTATAAACGTTGAGAACATGACTGTCGTTGATCTAAAGAAGAGATTCTTTGAAATTCTTATAAGGTCAGAGTATAAATGAGGTTTCACTACACAGCTGCAGAACTGACTGAATTTAAACTCTCTTCAGACTTCTTGTTACACTTTTATTTGGGGTTTCTCCTCCTTCAGCATCTCTCTGTGATTTAAGCCCATTTCCATGATCAAGTTCAGTTTTACACACCCTTTATATTTGCTCCTTAAGGCGAAGTATTCCTCATGTCCAGATGTGTAAAATATGTCTGTAGGACGAGGGTTAATAATCCAGTCGTTCATAATTGGGTCATGGGCTATTAAAATGTGAAGAGCTACAACGATTTATTGATTGGCAGAGATGAATCACGCTGACATTACATGACTCCCGATGATCCTGGCTGGCTGCAGTCTGTGAGCTAGCGTATGTAAAGTGGTATCAGTATGAAAGCCAGTCAATTATGAATTCTCCACAGCTTGTTTTGTATCTGCACATCAATCTTTCAGACAGAGGCTGGTGTGCAAATTAGCATAAACACATCAACATCAACATCAGCGTGAAAGACTTTTTGTAGATTTTTTTGACATAATGGAAAAGCCTTTGGGAAATACGTAGATATATTTAAGCTGGAATATTTCAGTAGCTGTGTATGCATGCATCACAGCTATTAAATCCCTTTGCCCTCCTCAAACCGAATCTCCGTTGTTTATGTTGATGATATAAAGTACTAAACCCCCCACCGAGAGAAAAATCATACAAACTGACACCCAATAACAAACCACGTTTTCTTCCTCAGGTCAGGTTTTATTAAGTGAAACTGTCACAGAGCCAAAACCTACTAAAAATATACCCCAGGCTGAAACCGACCATCTGTCACACATCAAAATACCAAACTGCAACCCAAGGCAATCTGTCTGGGCACAGAGCATCAGTGACTTCCTCTTAACTTCTCACTCTCTGTTTCCTCCACTCGATTCTCTCCTCAGTCTGTTACTCTGGTGGCTGCTGCACATCTCCCCTCTGTGTATGTTCTTCATCTTACATCATAGATGTTGTGGTACTGTATACAGTGGAATTCCCTGTAGAAGACCCTACATGAATCACAGATTCCCCAACAAAAGATCCAGATTAGCTGAGAAAAAAGAACTCATGTCTCTAAAGTCTAAATACAAACAGCCATTTTCTTACTCTTTAACTTAGCAGTTAGCAGTTAAGTCTCAGGGTCATGTTTTATTTGAGCAATAAGAAACAGCCTTTTTTTTCTATAGCTATATAGACTTAAACTGTTGGACCCTAACATGAAGAATTTAAGTCTTTATGTGTATAGATATTTAATGGTAACAATAATGAATATTAAGTCTGTCCATGCATCTGCTGATAATATAACAGCAAAATAGAGAACATATACAAATACCTTCATCAATATCTAGTAGCATCTTTTTTTAATGAACAAAGGAGATGGCACAGGTGTTACACTACTGTACTGCACACATCTGTTTTTCTAATGTCCCTTAATGTGAGTGAACCAGACTTTTGCTGCAAATACTGCCCGTGTGTCACTACAGTAACCTGTTACACCTGTCCACTGCTGTCCACTGTTAAATGCATGTCTGTTTTTCTTAACAGGCGAAGCAAATTCCAGGCGTGACGATACTCACATGTTCAAGTCCACTTTACTTTGCCAACTCTGAACTGGTGTTCACAAAGATAAGACAGGTGCCAATACACACACACACACACACATACATACACATATACACACACACGCACACATGCACGCACACACACACATACATATGCACACACACATTGATCTCCTAGAGCTCTGTCCTGATATGTAACTATTAATCTTGAATCTTCAACCTAATGATTACCAAACATTAAGTCTTTTAGACATAAAACTCTAATCAGCCAATCACATAGCAGTAGCTCAGAGACAGGTGATTTAGGTGACTTTGAACGTAGGATGAGAAAAGACGGGCTGGACTGAATATTTCACAAACTGCTGATCTACTGCGATTTTCCCACATGACCATCTCTACAGTTTGCAAAGAATGGGATGAAAGAGATAAAATATCCTGTGAGCAGCAGTTCTAAAGGAAAAATGCCCTTTTCATGTCAGAGGTCAGAGGAAAAGGACTCGACATGGTAGACATGGTAACAGAAAAGCGACAGTAAACCAAATAATCACAGATTACAACCATGAAGAGCATCTCTGAACACAAATGTCGAAGCAAACGAACTGCAGCACCACAGGACCACACTGAGTACCACTCCTGTCAGCTAAAGACAAAAAACTGAAGCTGCAATTTGGCAAAACTGGACAGTAGAAAATTGGAAAAATGTACCCTCATCTGATAAGTTTTGATTTCTGCTGCAACGTTCAGATGGGAGGGTCAGGATTTGGTGTAAACAACATGAAAACTTGGCTCCATCCTATCTCGTATCAACAGTTCACTGTATTCAGATGATATCCATGGTCACCAGATCCCATAGCGCACCGTTTGGATGTGGTGGAATTTGAGATTCACATGAAGGATGTGCAGCCAACAAATATGCAGCAACTGTGTGATGCTGGCACATCAGCGTGAGACCAAAATCTCTGAGGAATGTTTCCAGAAACTGAATCGGTGAAAATGTCCAGTGAGTGTAACTCTGAGTTTCATCACCAGCCCCATGCATTATGCAATGTGCTTGTATGTGTGTGGATTTGTGCACTGGATTTGATCCCTCTAGTTGAAATAGAAAAATCTCAAAAGCATGTTTGAAGCACTGAAATGTAAATTTTTCACTTGTAACTTTTCCTCTTCACTTCTTTCCTCTTGCAACTTGGAGACGGTGAATCATGGTCAGAAGGAAAACTCAGCTGGAGTTCACATCGCTGCTTCTTCGGTTTCTTCCCCCCCAGCGCAGACACACATGCACACCTACTGCTTGGTTCTGGATCTCAGCTCTGTTACCTTCATGGACTCTGTGGCCATGACGGCACTTTGCAAGGTGAGGAGAGAAGTGCAGGATGAATGCAGCCAATGCATTTCTATGAAGAAATAATTTATTTGTTTGATATATTTATATTTACTCTAAACAGTCTAAAGGGAACTTATTCTCTGGGGCACTGTCATAGTGGGCAGTATTGTAGGTTTTTTATTTGTTCTCTGAAAACTTCTCTTTCCACTATCACCCAGAAAAAAAAATTTACTGAATAAAATCTATAGAAGCCAGTAACATGCTACGAATAATGCTAATGCTAATGTAAATGGGTAAGATGCTAAATAATGACAAGATAATTAAAATCTACAAGACTCCAGGTCAAACAGAGTCCAGATATATTTTTCTGAGACAATATTTCTAAGTTCCTAAAATTTATCTTCATGTTTGAAAGTAAAGTGAAACGTTTTTTTGCAGGTTTTTTTGTGTGTGTGATGGAACAGATCAGAGTTGTGTCAGCAGCAAATGTGGAGAATATGATGGAAACTACAACAGACTGGAGCTGAATGAACAAAATAATGACATTTTCTTTCTCACTAAGCTAAACCTTTTCTTTACCTACAACTTTTTGTCACATTTGTCACAGATAAGACAGAAAATATAGTTTAGAGAAATATTCAGTCAGTTGTTTTACGTCAATATCACTAAAAATAAATTCAGCTTTAGAAACTGGATCACCAAACAGATGTATTCACTAATTCTCAAGGCCTCAGGAGGGAAAAAGAGCTGTCAGCCTGATATCTTTTTGCTGATCAAAGATATTAGCAAGAAATGGTTATGTAAGAAAAGACCAGCGTACTGATCACGTGTGAGATAAAAACAAACCACGCGATTAACAACGTCACATGTGTGCATGTTGACGCAGAGCTTTTGCATAATTCTTATCTAATGGATAAGAAGAATTGAAACGTATTCGTCCCACTATGTATACATGTGCTTTTATATTATATTGGTAATGTTTATATGGTCACAAGATCCCTATGTTTGTGTGTGTATTCACCAGGTTGTAGAAGTCTTGGACATCCAGGGTGTCGGTGTTTTTCTGGCAGCTTGCCCAGGTCAGCCTCATGTTTCATGCGTTCTTACTGTATCTCCCACAGAGTGACTTATCTTCTATTTCTCTCTCACACACTCATTCACGCACACACCCACACACACACCCTCCGTTTCTCTTGGGTTTGGCTGTTACTGTTTCCACAGGTCAGGTTCTCACAACCCCTCCTAACTGGAGCTTTGCTTCAAGCTTCTTTTTCTTTCATTTTGAACTTCATGTAGCTGTCGCATTTTTTTTTTCTTTAGGAGCTTTTTTTTGTATGCTAGTGCACACACGGCAGGTTGTGTCTTTCTAATGAGACATGGGAGTGTAAAAGCATTTTCCATGTGATTAACATCAGTAAATATTTCCAATTACGCTGTAAATTCTGTAATTTCTAATTCTCTCTGCATGTTTACAGAGAAAGTTTTATCCCAGCTCCAGACTCAGGGTTGTATACCAGACAGCCTGCCCCGCTCCTGTCTCTTTCCATCGGTCCATCATGCCGTCCAGCACTGCCTCACCATCCTACCCAGGTCTCTGGAGGTATGCACCATATATATATTATATAGATAGAAAATTCTTTTATTCTGCCTATTGCAACTGCTCAACTCCACTTTCACGGGGAAGCAGAGCTCATACACTCCTAAAATCATCTCATATTTTTAAATATGTGTTTTTTTGAGCAGCAGGTTTTCTGCTGTGTTTGTGTAGCCACATCGAACATGTAACTGTTTACAGCTCCTCTGTACTACAGCATCTGTGAAACTGACTCACTCACTTGTGTAGTCAGTACAGGCTGAAAAATACTAAGTGTGAAAATGCAAATTGAGAAAAGAAAAGACAAGAAAGAAGGGTAGGGGTGTAGTTAGTTAGAGGTGAATTTAGCAGACTGTAGGCTGGTACACTGTCTCTGATTGAGGCGGGAGGATTGAAGCTGTGTTACCTGGATTTGCATGTGAGTCTTTTCAGTTGCATTTTTAGATCATGTATGAAGGTGATTGGATCTGGCTGACCAGAGGAGACAGTGTGGATCACAAAATATTATTTCTGTGTCCGAAAACTCTCTTTGCTCATTCAATCATTTCTCCCAATATAAAATTAAAATGCTTAGTCATAGTTACCAGTAAACTGAGATTTTGGACACTTATTGTCACAGGTGCAGTCACAACTCTTGGGAGAATTGTATGCGTGTTGTGAACACTATGTTTGTTTTGTTTTGTTGGGGGGATTTTTGCACTCTATCTACTGAACTGTAAATCTGGTGAACTGATATTTTGCTGCACTGGTTTTCTTTCCTTTAAATTGCTCATTTAAACTGTAATCTGCTATTGTGTGCTTTTGTGTCGCATTTCAACATATTTAAAGATTTTCTTTATTTATTCTTTGCTTCTAATCAGGAAATCAACTCGGACACAAGCGTTTGTTAAAACAACAAAGGGACAATAATTCTGCATAAAGCAGACCCCAAACACAACCCTGGGGTGGACGGCGTCCATTTATTTTTGACAGAAATGCTCTTTTGCATTTGCATGTTGCACATTTCCCAGGTTGGCTTTTCTCAGTCTTTGCTTTTTTGTATTTCCACAAATAAATGTAACAACAAATGTATTCACCATTTCATGCTATTATTAAACATTCTGAAATTTTGCTGATTTTCAAGGCAGAGTGAAAAGTTTGAATCTCCTGGTTTTGAGCCTAGTACACCTGCTGCTCCGCAGCACTATCTGTCACACCAGAAAGGACTCAAACCCAAACATCCTAGCTTTGAAGAGAAGCGCCTTATCCATTAAGCTGTTGAGACTTGAGAATACCTGATGACAATGCAGACACAGAGCACTGATGGGCTTATTCATTAACCGAGGCAACAGTGTTCTTATAGTTTTTCTCCGTCGCTTTGGTGCTTTTCTCACATCACTATTAACATTAAAATGCTCACGACAGCACTATGCACTTTTTGTACAGCCATTTACAGTAAAATCTACAGTAAAGTTAAACATTCCTGTAGTTAGGGAAGTAAGTGAGTACAAGACACTGAATACGTATGTTTCCCATTTTTACTGTGTAGGCTGTTTGTAATTCTACAACATTGTGCAAAAGAAAAATACTCTACAGTCACTTATTTAGAATAAACATAAGAAACACCCTTTTGGAAGAGCTGTGCACAAATGTGAACAATATAACAGTACATATTGTAACTGAACATAAGTAAATCATTTTGGCACATCCAGACGTTCCCGTCTGTCTGGCTACATATTTTCATCTACATCACAATGGATACCATTCCTTGCAATGCAGCGAGGAAAATATCACCTGTAGTGGCGAATCCACCCTCTGCATGACTCAGCTGTGATGTCATCACATGCTGCATCCATGGCTGCTAGCAGGGCCATTTGCGCATGTGAATGCCGGTCATAAACCTTCCACCTCCAGGCAGAGAAAAACTCCTCTTATTAAGGAATGGGGGAGTAGGGAGGGAGAAATTCAACCAGCATTATGTCATGTGCTGCAAACCACTGTCTGACCAGATATGAGTGGTGAAAACGGATATTATCCCACACAACGACATACTTGTTAAGTTGGTCTCAACCCCTCTCATTCTCAGGGACTATGTCCCTGTAAAGAGTGTCTAAAAAAGTCAGGAAATGTTGTGTATTGTATGGACCAAGAAGGAGAATATGGGTGAGGATGCCATTGTCTGAGATGGCTGCACACATTGTAACATTCTCTCCACACCGGCCTGGGACATCGGTGGTTGCTCCCTGTCCAATGCGATTTCTTCCACGCCTTCTGCCTTTGGCCAGATTGAAACCCGCCTCATCAACGTATATGAACGTGTGCAGTGGTTCCTCTCCCTTTAGAGAGAGAGAGAAAATGGAACATCTTTTCCTGTGTAACATAATGCATTTTGTATGTTCTGTGATTATATATACAAAATTGCTAGACTACTGCATGAAACTACACAAAGTAAAACAGTTTACAGTGCTGAAGGTTAGAGTATACATAGAAGACATGTTTTACCTGTACATACTAGTGACGGATCTCCTTCACTCTTTCACTGTTCTGTTCAAATGGCACTTTGTACAATTCTTTCATGCACATTTCTTTTCTCTTGAGCACTCTGTCAGTTGTTGCAATTGACACAGATCCAATATTGCCAAATACACCGTTATCCTCTATGACAGCCCTTTGGGTTTCTTTCAACTTTATTGCATTGTTTGCAATCACCATTGCACAAATGGCTTCCTCTTGCTGCGGGGTAAAAAGGGGCCCTCTTCCACCTCTGCGAGGTTGTCTTTCAATCCTTTGTGGTGCAGATTACAGTAAAATTACAGTAATCTACACTCAACATGAGATATTATGAGATGTTGGATTACTTTTCAATACTATACATATCTGTTCTCCCTATGAAATGTTTGAATGATTGAACTCCCAGTGGTTCTTTCAACATTTGGTTGCACCCTCCCTCATCCATTGTGAGGCCATGATTGACAACATGGTCAACAAGTGTTGCCCTAATTTCATTAGGAATCGGCCCATGTATTTTGGCGTCTTCTCCCTCTTCCCCTGTTTTTTCCCCCCCTCATCCTCACCCCTCTTCCACGATGCTGACCTTCCTGTCCTGCTCAGTTCATATAGGCTTCCCAATTGAGGGTTCATGGGATTGATCCATGAGTGATTGTGAACAAGCGTGTATGTGTTTCCTGTTTTACTTTGAAGGTCTCTGTCTGATGTCAGTGCGTTCTCTTTACGTTTCCCCCGCCTCGTCAGCTGGGATGTCTCCCAGGTGTGTTTCCCTCCTGTTTCCCATCCCCTGATTGCTGGTCTGTGTATTTATAGTGTGTGTTCCCTCGTCCTCGTTGCATTATTCCCCTCCATCATTCTGTGTAATTCCCTGTGTATCCCTACATCGCCATTTCTGGTTAGTCTCTGTTAGTTTTTCCCTGTTTAGGTCGTACTTCTTCAGGTTTCTTGAAGGGCATTCAAAGCTCTTCTTCAGATGAAAGACATGTGGATGAGAAAGAACCAGTACTTTCTGATCAATGTCATTGCTGGATTTATTAAAGAGGAAAAAGACATACATGTTTTAGCCATGAGCCATCATTAGCATAACGTAAAACAAAAAGCAGTGACAATATATGCCTATTGTCACTGGTCCAAACGCCTATTCGAGTCCTCTCATCAAACACTGAATAATCATATATCTTTGTGAGAATAATTTGAGCACACTCCCAATGTCAGTATCACTTAAAGACAATCTTATTAGAAACATAATAAAATTGTGCATTACAAAGTTTTCATTGATTTTAAAAGAATGTATGTAACAATCTCTATGTGAGTTTTCAAGGTTGCTGACGTGACATTGCAAATGCGTGTGTGGTGTGTCGAACCATGTTGGAAAAAGGTCAGGATGAAGTCTATGAACCTTCACTATCATTAACTTTGACAGGATTACCCCGTTGACTCACTCAATCCCTGACACTGGCTCAAGAAGTAATGAACAGCCTAGCTAGTGTACTATTCCCTGTAGCTTCATATTATCACGTCGCTGTGGCGACTAAACAACAAGACGTGGAACCATATGATAAAAATCCAGGTTGGTCAGGTTTGTAACACTTGCACCAAAGCCATACTGCCATGAACTATGTGACTGGATTGTGACACCCTGTTTTTGTTTTCATTCATTTTTAAAGTTATACAATGATTTAATGCACACAATAATGCAGGTTAACAATACAGCTTGTATTTAATGACCGGCTCAGTCATCTCCGTCTCTGTCGTCGCCGCCGCTGCCTTCCGCTGCCTTCCGCTGCCTTCCGCGCGGCCGGCCTCCGGACCGGCTCAGTCGTCTCCTTCGCCGACGACGGGTAGCAGTCATGTGTCTTTCCAAGAAAATGTTCTCGAGTTCAAAGATTAAATCTGAGCATAGTTCATGGTTTGAATGCTGCTATGTTCAAATGAACATGCTGCTATAGAGATTCTCTTTACTTTTCATGTAGATCCTTCTCATTAAAATACGCTGATAAAAGTTGTACAAAAGGTTAGACCCTTCTCAGTCTTATCAATAGACAATGGGGCCGCATTATAAGACCTGTTAATATTCTTTCCTGAGGAAGAAACCTCACCAGATACTGTGCCTTTTGCAAAACACTGAAGACAAGAGTCAATCTCATTTGTGAGTAGGAATGAGAATTGATAAGAATTACATCCAATTCCATTATCGATATTACTTATCGATTCGATTCCTTATTAATTCTCGATTCTAGATTGGGTTCTCACTAGCTCTGCATTTAGAGTTACCACCATCACTAAGCAGCATATCAAAGACATTACATTTGTGCAAATTAATTGCATGTTGTCTGGTCAAATGTTCGCGTACGCTGGAGGTATTTCATCTCTTTGTTAAGATTAGTGTCAGGTCAATACTCAAAAAAGTAACACTTTTATTAAAGGTAATGCAGTACATTACTTAATTACTTCAAGAAGAAAATAATTCATTATACTCCTCATTACATTACTTTCATCTTACTCTGTAAAATGATCTGAAGTACACTGTCTTATAATAACCATTTCACAATATAAACTTGAGGCTACAGCCCGACACACCAACACAAATCCCTATCCTGATGAAGACACATATATGAAGAGAAAGCCAACAGCACAAATGAAAGAGGAAGCATATGTTTCTTCTACTGTAGAAACATGCACTGATAGAAATGGAGGCTGCAGCCTGACTGCTCATCCGTTTGTTACCTGATGAAGTTCAGCATCAGCTTCACCGCAGCTCACAAATGATGGCTCACTTGAGCCGTCCTGGGCTGAGGTCGGCATTCCATCAGCTTTAGCATCACTCTGGGTTCTAGGCTAGATTAGCATTAGCATGCTGTCTGTGCAGGTGTTTGCAAAGAGCCAAAGTTGTGGTGGTAGCATAATGCAGCTGTTTCTGTCCTGGATGCAGTTTGCACTTTACCATTATGCCCTTGTCCTTTAGAGCAATAAAAATAGAAGTAAGGTCCATACCCATGATGCAAACTGTCCTGCTATTTTCCTCAGCTGACAACTGAAATTAGCTGCATGTAGTGCAAGTGCAAGAATCGATGAGTCCAAGGGATTTGACTACTACTCGATTCCCATCCCTTTTCATGTAACATCATCCTCTGGGGTCTTGGTCATTGTTTTCAGTCTTATCACATATTAGCGCTCAGTTACACAGGCCTAAGGACGGATCAGGGTTCCCATGGCAACCTCCAGATAGTAGAACAAAATATGTATTCCCCAGCTGGTTTGCGAGTACTTGCTGGGTGAAATCGGCCACAATGTGGGTGCTGTATCTCTTTGTGGCCTTCCAGTTGCTTTGGCTGCTAACAGATTGCCACAGTAGTTTGCATGGAAAATGGCAACTTGTCTGCAAACACTTGCAACATGTTTGGCAATGAACAGCGAAACTGCAGAATGTCTAAAGCCAACCACAATCTTTTCTCTATCAGAGTAAAAGTTGTCCCTTATGTGCAACCAGCACAGTTCAAAAGGCACAACTTTTACTTTGAAAGTGAAAAGTCTCTGTTTGTGGTTGGATTTGCTCTTTTTCAGGTTTCACTACAGCTCAGGCAGCAAATGGTAAATGATTGCAAACGAGTCTGGGTGTTCCATGCAAACTATTGGCGACTGTCACCAATACTTATGGTATACTTATACTTGTGTTTATAAGTATTTTGACAGTGCTAGATTTTAACCAAAGCACTTTTATCTAATGTTCACACACACACACACACTCCAATGGGGCAACTCTGGCTTTACTATCTTGCCCAAGGCTTCGACATGCAGACTGGAGGAGCCTGAGATTAAACCATCAACTTCAAATTTGCAGACAACTGTGTCTCTCTGTGTGTGCCGGTACTCTGAAGTACTTCATTCCAGATGTATTTACACTTTGAAATAACTATATGCATGCTGTATTAAAATGCCAAGCTTTGGCTTTTCTTTGAGAGTAACTTCCTATAAATAGATTGTGTACAAAATGTCGAGATCAAAAAGTAATTGGACACGAAGTCAGAAAAAGTTATTATATTTAATATTGTGTAGAAAATGCTTTTACTTTTTGACCCACAGACATCAGCAGATGGTTTGCCTCTTCCCCGGTGAAGCTCTCCCTGTCATTCACAGCAGTCACTGTCAGCTTTTGGTTGTTTGGGGACTCAATCAATCAAAAATATGCAACCTCTTCACCATGTGTTCACATTGGCAGTATGAATGATGAAATGTCATCTCATGAGTTTTGATGAATTTGGCTGAATCTGAGCACTCATTTTGCTTGTGTATATCTTGGCATTCACCCCATTGCTTCTGCCAGCAGTAAATCCTCAATAAATGTCATGTTGCCAGTGTCTTTGGAAGCTAGACATGCCCAAGTAACTTTGATGTCTCTCTAACAGATTAATGCTTTGATTGAATCACATTATTCATATTATTTACTTGCATAGTCATTTTTTTAAATTGACAGGTAATTCCATCTCAGCGTAACAAGTGACTATCAACTCTGAATGAGTTTTTTCCTTCGTGAACTTACGCTGAAATAAATCACAGCTGCCCACAATATGTTATATTGCAGATGAAATACTATTCATTAACTGCACAAATATTGTGTTCTGCATGCTAGTACTACAACTAGCATGCAGAATGTAATACTAATACTGTGCCATACTAGTACTATTGTTGCAGTACTGGTATACTGCAATAAACATAGTGGAACATACATTACAAACAGTGCATAGTGGAATCTAAATGGATCTGAATGGTGTCTAAATACACTTCAGAGCTTCATTACAGAAGAAAAGCACACACGTTTGTAAAAATCTTTGTGTGTGTGTTGATTTTTTTGTGTGAAATCGCTTCCCATTGTAGTTACTATTAACATGACAGCGATGAGGAAAGCTAAAATTAAAATGCATATAACTGCTATCACAGTTGGTTAACAGTTATCCGGATGAAGTTTGTGACATGGGTTTCCAAATACAGATCATTAACTTTGACTAAATTATCTTTTTCAGAGAGACTGCAAATCTAAGTCACTGGGTCAGGAAGCAATGAATAGCCTTGCTTCACGCCGTTGCATTACTGTTGCAAACTAATCAGTAAGACCCAGTTAAATATCAACCAGGTTTCTGGTACTGGCTGTGCGTGTTTTTCTAAGAAAATGTCCATGGTGGAAAGATTAAATCTGAGCAAAGTTCACTGTGATGTTAAAAATTCTTCTAGATAAAATAGATAAAGCCTTTTTTTTTATCAGTGAACAAAAAGGCTACTTTCAGAAGTTGACATTCTTTCCTAAGGACAAAATCTCACCAGATGTGTCTGCTGTGCCTTTTGTGACATGAAGTAAGAAGCACTGAAAACGAGAAACTAATTTGTAAGTTCTTAATCTTCTGGGCTCTTGGCCATAACTGCTCTGTACAGATGTGTCTGATGTTTCATGTTACCGTGTAAAAATGTATAAATTCAAATGATTTTAACAAAAACGTAATCATTTTCTTTTTAACATGAGTTCCTTTGCAATGCTAACACAAAACCTTCTTTAGTTTCTTTAAACGGTGCATTATGTTTAAAGCAGTTCTATATCAGCCTGTCAAAAAATTAATACAGTAAAAAGTGTTGTTGCTGTTGTTTAAACTGTGTTGAATTTCAGTCTTTTTGAAATGCTATATGCTCCGTTTACTATTAACATGACAATGATGAGTAAAATAAATGTATATACAATACAAAGTAAAGGTCTGGAGTCATCTTTCATTTTATTACATTTTATTAAAAAAAGGCAAATATGTGCAGTGATTTATTGAAAGATGTGTATAGATACATAGAAATACAGTATATATAACACAATCAGAGCTTGTACAAGTCTAATAATCATCGATATTTGGTATAATTACCTTTATTCTTCAACACAGTCTGAAGTCTCTTAGCCAGCTTTCTTATACTTTCTTTAAGTAATACTTCTCTAGGCTTCTTGAAGGGCATTCAAAGCTCTTCTTCAGATGAAAGACATGTGGATGAGAAAGAACCAGTACTTTCTGATCAATGTCATTGCTGGATTTATTAAAGAGGAAAAAGACATACATGTTTTAGCCATGAGCCATCATTAGCATAACGTAAAACAAAAAACAGTGACAATATATAAGGGGAGGTCCGAACGCCTATTCGAGTCCTCTCATCAAACAAATCTTTGTGAGAATAATTTGAGCACACTCCCAATGTCAGTATCACTTAAAGACAATCTTATTAGAAACATAATAAAATTGTGCATTACAAAGTTTTCATTGATTTTAAAAGAATGTATGTAACAATCTCTATGTGAGTTTTCAAGGTTGCTGACGTGACATTGCAAATGCGTGTGTGGTGTGTCGAACCATGTTGGAAAAAGGTCAGGATGAAGTCTATGAACCTTCACTATCATTAACTTTGACAGGATTACCCCGTTGACTCACTCAATCCCTGACACTGGCTCAAGAAGTAATGAACAGCCTAGCTAGTGTACTATTTCCTGTAGCCTCACATTATCACGTCGCTGTGGCGACTAAACAACAAGACTTGGAACCATGTGATAAAAATCCAGGTTGGTCAGGTTTGTAACACATGCACCAAAGCCATACTGCCATGAACTATGTGACTGGATTGTACAATGATTTAATGCACACAATAATGTAGGTTAACAATACAGCTTGTATTTAATGACAGGGATGCGTGGATATCCCCAAATAATATTAAATTTAGCTATAGAATCTATATGGTTACAGATTATATGTGAAACTAGTGTGTAAGAGGGGCGATAAGGATGCGTGTATTTGAGGGGTTTTTTTATGTATATGAGTATTTATTTCATATATTTATAAATCTCTAAGATTTAGTGTGTAATGTGAGGGAGGACAAATATGAATAAGCAACGACAGGATCATAAAGCTCCAAGTCCAAAAATAAAACCGACTATATTTCTGGTTGGCTATCAGTTTATCCAGTGATCTGTTATTATCCTTCAGTGTGACCACAAATAAATCAAATAAATCTGACTCTGCTGAAAGGACCAATATCTTTAATCATGCACAGATAAAACATAGAACACAGATAAGGTGCAATAAAGGAAACTAATGCGCAGCAATTCAGTCTGTAGTTATCTCATAGGTTAACCTGTGTGTGTCTGCTGTCTATACCACAAAGTCTTTTATGGTAGTACCATAACATGCCAGAGTACAAATTCATTCTGAGACAAACCATGATTAACAATAAATAAATAAATAATTTTAAGAACAATATGAGCGACGGAAATCCCTCATTAAATCATAAAACAAAAATGTTCTGAACATTTTTCTACCATGTCTGTTTTCACTTGTACAGCACGTACAAGGAACTTTGTCCTCTTCCTCGACTGACATGTGCTGTGTCAAATCTAGAGTTGTCTTCAAGGTCTCAAAGCAATCAGATCACAAGACAGACAGCAACTATCCTCAGGCAAGTTGGGGAGAGAGGAGCTCAGGAGCTCTCTTGGCTTTCAGAATAAAACTTTGCCTTTATCTCTTTGCTACAAAAAAAAAAAAAAGAATATAGGAATACTTAGAAATACCGTCACTACTTGCAGCCACTTGGATCTGATGCAGAAGATTTCATTTGATGCCTGTGCACCATTGTCCACAAGAAGGATTTATTTATCCCAATAGGTATGTACAACTTTATTACTAGCTTTTGATACAGCTGCAGACATAACAAGGTAGTTACTGACAAATGTTTAAAGATTTTCAAAAACACATT